GCTCATAAAGGAGGCCTCCAGATAAGTTTCATGTGCAGCAATATTTCTTTACAGCAATACAGTTAATACCAGGAACACTGATATCAGTCCAACAGAATTCAAATCCTAGGCCCTTCCGCTTTCCCACAGATTCCTGATATTAGCAAGTTATTTCAGTTCCAGTTTACCCCTATTTCTAGTACGGTCATACTTTCCTTGTAATATGGTTATGAGGAGAATATAGAAACTGTGTTTGAAAAAAGACTTAGCACAGTGCCTACTACACAGAAGGCAAGTTGGAATAAATGTAAGTTGCCAGCATCACAGATGTTGGTAGTTTATTTCTGGAGCAGTAGAGCCCAACTGCAAGTGAATGCCTGGCTTTAGTTTTTAGTCTTTCTGTTGCTATTTATGTGAACTTGTGCAGCCAGTTAAACTCTCTGTGCCTCAGTTTCCTTACAATAGGAAAACTGAGGAGTTATAGAAGACTTTAGTTTAAAAGGTTGCCATAAACTGATAAATTAAACTATATAAAGTCAGTAGACCAGTGAATAACTTTGCTTCCTATTATTATGCTGAAATGTTAGCAGTAGCAGTAAAAAAAAAAAAAAAAAAAGGCTTCATTTTGACCAAGAGCAAGGAGAAAAATGAAACGGTTTTTCTAATAAATCTTCCCCCCTCCTGTTATAAATGACACACAAAAGTGGCTCAAGATTTTGCTCAATCATTTGCCTAGTTCACAAACTAATAAGCTAGTATTATAATTTATTCCTCCTTTATTTAATACTTTATAATCGATACAAGGACTGATGCTGAAGCTAAAACTCTAATACTTTGGCCTCCTGATACGAAGAACTGACTCATTGGAAAAGACCCTGATGCTGGGAAAGATTTAAAACAGGAGGAGAAGGGCATGAGAGGACGAGATGGTTGGATGGTATCACCGACTTGATGGACATGAGTTTAAGCAGGTTCTGGGAGTTGATGATGGACAGAGAAACCTAGTGTGCTGCAGCCCTCGGGGTCACAAGTTGGCTGCGACTGAGCAACTGAACTGAACTAAATCAATGCAATCAACATTCTCTTTTGAATATTGACTATGAAGATTTTATTCCGGTCTTAGGTCTGGTTCCCCAGAAACAAGCAAGGATTTGGGTGCAAGTGATTGGTTAACAGATTGCTTCCAGGTCAGGAAGTGTGAGAGTGGGAAAACAAGACAAGAGAAAGAGTCTAAGTGAGTGTTATTTCAGTCAGTCCAGGCTCAGCATGATTCTTTAGGGGAGCTGCGGGATGCAAATAACATATTGGTTTTTAATATTTCTGCACCTGTTAAACAGTGGCTCAGGGATTCCATGAAAGACAGTTGTAAACTTGCAGGCACTTTAGTCTCCCTGTGCCTGTGGGCAAAGTGGCTCCAGTAACCAAGGGAAGTCCTTCAAAGGGAGTAGCAGGTGCAGGCCATTAGAAGCAACGCATACAAAAATGGCAGTGCACGAAGTGTGTGTATGTGGCCATATTAAAGAATCAAAGGAAATCTGAGCAGAGATTCGGTGTCCACTTCAAATCACTTCTCTGTGATCCATCATCATCACTTTCTGGATTACAGTGATAGACTTTAACTGTCTCCCTGAATCCTTTCCTATCCTCTAGCCTGTTTCCCAATCTGTAGCCAAATTGGTCTTTTCTAAGCATGGCATGTAAAGCTTTCCAAGAACTTTCAATTTTGCACTGAAATGAAAGCAAATGTCTTATGATAGATTATAAAGACCTATGGGATTCTGGCCTCTGCCTGTCTTTTCAGCTTAAAGACTTACATTCTACCTAAAATAGGTATCACAGAACAAATGACAGGAAATGAAGAACGCTCTTCAATTTCTCATGGAAATCTCTCAGTGGGAAGAAACAAGGTTACCCAGTGTAGTCTACTAAGGAAGTGTGATTATTTATCAAAGTGAGTTAACAGCTATTCTTGAGACTCTCTGACTACTCATTTTCTACCATACTATCTCTGATAAAGAACTTCCCAGGTGCCTCAGACAGTAAAGTGTCTGCCTACAATGCAGGAGACCCAGGTTCAATCCCTGGGTCAGGAAGATCTCCTGGAGAAGGAAATGGCAACCCACTCCAGTATTCTTGCCTGGAAAATCCCATGTGGAGGAGCCTGGTAGGCTACAGTCCATGGCGTCACAAAGAGTTGGACATGACTAAGTGACTTCACTTTCATTTTGATCCCTAATAAATAAAATGTGGGGCATAGTCTAAACTATTGGCCATTAGATACTTTTCATTAAATGTTTTGCAAGTATTATTTGCTGTTGTACTGTTCTGAAATTTATTTCACAGTTTTAATGGTTGTGGTTAAATTTACCAGTTTCCAGTAGTTTACAAGATTACTACTAGTTATGTAAAGTCAACAGGAATGATCAATGAACAATCTATAATGAGGCTGTTGATGGAAGTAATAAACAATCTATTGTAAGAAAAATCAAAGGGTTTTCTCTGAGCCAAATGGAGCACAAGAGCTCCAGAGACACTGAATCCAGAATTTGAATTGTGTTTTGCTAGACTAAAAAATGGTGATGACTGATAAAGACAAAAACCTTTATGTGTTGAAAATTATATAAACTACTCATCAAGAACTAGGACTGGAACTGCAAGAAGTAAGGATGCTTGTTAAGCAAGGATAAGTTGGTATCCAAAATGGTTGCAGAGTTAAAAGGGAAGACCTTGAAACCATAATATTGCTGCTGCTAAAGGATGTTAATTTGAGAACGACTGGTGGTGTTGAATCTAAATCAGGAAATTCAGGTTCTCGGTGATGCAGGAACATGTCTGAAACTATGTCCATTTTGGATGACTAAACCACAATTACTCTGTTTTGGTTTTCAAATGTACTCTCTTCTTAAATGGTTAAAACAGATTTACAAAGTATGTTCAATATACCACAGGTAAGCTTTTTTAATTAGCATAAAGTTCAACTTAAATCATGTATAAGCCAAAATGACTTTCTCATACCTCAATAAGTGAAAATTTCTCCCATCAATAGTAATTATCACCACCCATGCTTTCAGATTTAAAAACAATAACATGACTTTGATTTCTCTCATTCTGGAAGAGTGTGTAGATTTGTGGTTACATATGTGTATTTTGTTAAGAACTTTAAAAAAAAATAATAGGTATGGAAATTAGAGTACATATAGGTGGGCAAGCCAATAGGTCTGTACCATAGCAAGTATCCATTCTTTATTATATTGGTATACATTGGGAGCAAACCTCATTGATTGATAATGAAAACACTAACATGCTGGGGAATTGTATGCTAGCACTTTGCTGATTTACTATAAGCTACGTGTATTATATTATGTAAAAACAAGTTTAAAGCTGAGAATCTAAAAACTAGCTCCAATATGTACTATCTGTATGAATTTTTTCAAATTAGTTAATTCTTCACACCTCAGTGTTCTCATAGGTATATGCTACTATAAAAATTTAATCTTTGTATTACAAATAGCTATGACTTTATGATAAATGTTCAAAATAAAATAAATAACAGTACTTTATGAGATAGGTACTGATTTTTCTCCTTTTATAAAAGAAGTAGTTGAAACCTTGTGATGCAGGTAAGTATCCAGAAGTCTCAGATAATAAGGGATAAGCCAAGCTTGAGGGTTATATATGACTTTTATGACTTGATAACTGCAACTCAAATCCACAGGTACATAGTCTAGTACTGGACATTTGGCCTAGGCCAGGTAAATTAGAGTCCATTTCTAGGATTTTTTTGTTTTTTAAACTCAAAATAGAAAAGTTGCTTTCTCGATTGGAAGATGTTGAATCTTAAATCCATGTATTTGCAGATTTCATCAGGTTGAGAAGGCTTAGGTCGAAGCCAGAGAAAAGTGAGAGAGAAAAAGAAGGAAAAAAAAAAAGAACTCCAGTACCCAAGGCCCTAATTCTCAGTTTTCATGAGCAGGAAGTGCCCAGTTGCTTCTCTATTCCTTTCATTGTCTCCTTTCCACACTTAATTTGATTTTATAATCTAATGAATTATTTATTTATTTTTAGCTGTACTAGTTTGAGATGGGTTGTTCTTGCTTATCAAATCATTATAATCAGCAACAACATCTCAAATGTTCTAGATTATATATGTTTCAAATTAAAGCAAAGTACTAATAGATAAAATTAATTTTGAAATACCAAAACATTTAAAAATTCTGGATCAAATTATCTCATAGGTAGAACTGACTATCTAATTTTGCAATACTAATTTTGTGTTTTCCTTTTTGTTATTACTATTATTTGAAATAAATATGTGTTTTTTTAACATCAAAATGTTCCTGAACAGGAGGAGAACACATTCTCCTTGCTTACTCAACTGATATTTGGGAAAAAAAGTTATTGATTGTAAAGGATCAACCTTACAGTGCTAAGTAATTAAAGACACAATCCAAAGTATATTTGGTATCATTTAATTTGCCTTGATGCAACATCTCAATATGTTATAGAAGAAAAACAGAAGGGAAAGGAGAGAAAAAGGTGGAAGAGGAGAAACAGCTTATGAAATTTGGTAGACTGTGGACAGAAAATAGTGTTCTTGTTCATATATATTTATATATTGGTAAATATTCTACTTTCATTGGTCTTGAGGACTTTAAGAACTTGATATGATCTTTTGTGTATTATAGAGCTTACTCTTTTTCAAAATAATTGATATTTTTAAATATTAATATATTCAAATTTACATGTCATAATACAGTAACAGTAATTCAGCTGTTTTCTGTTTATTTTTTCCTATGTACTTCTTCTTTACTATTGATATGTTTTTAATGATAATCCATTGATATACAGCAAAAATTTGTCAATAGTATATTATTTACAACATTTAAATAATATTCAGAAAAGTTTTGCAGTTTACAGGTTATATGAAAAAGAAACACAGTCTAATAAACTATTTTTCTCCTACTACTTTTCAGGGAAAAAGACAGTACATTGAATTTGTTTTCCTGCTGAAGCCACAAATAATGAGGACTTATCATTGCCTATCACTATTCATCTGGACCTATATGTATCATACAACTGATGCTATCCCATTTCAAGAAAAAGGTAACAGTGATTTACCAAGTGAAAGGATACTGGGTCTGACACAAGATGATGGTAAAATGCTACATCGCACCAAGCGTGGCTGGATGTGGAATCAGTTCTTCTTGTTGGAAGAGTATACAGGTACAGACACACAATACGTAGGCAAGGTAAGAGTTTTTGTATGATAAGTCTAGAAGTTGAAAGTCATAGTTATTTTTTACATCAATTTTCCATGTCACTAATTATTTTAAAGTATTTGACTAATGGCAATATGCAGAGGTATCATGTTGTCAATTCATTCAGTAGGATAATGTGGGGAATGTGATTTATTCAGGTAGTTAGATTAAATCAGTATTCATAGTAAGCCTCAGAGAATAAACAATTTATGGACTTAATTCACTATTTATCAGCTAGATATGATATAATTTTATGTGCATGTATCTAAAAGATTTGTTAAAAAATTCTTTGAAAATTAAGTCATGAGTAAAAATAATTTGATACATTATATAAGGTGAAGCAAATGCAATTGTAATATACAATAGTTGCTAAAATATATTAGTCTCTGCTGATGAATAATTTGTTGTTATTATGAATAGTATGCTGTATATGAAAAACAAGTAATTTGAATACTTCTAGATGCCTGTGTCTTCTAATCAGTCAAAATGAACTATGTCTTGCCTATAATCCAGACCAAAGGATTTAAAGCAGAGGGAAGAAGAAAAGAAAAGAAAAAAAAAAGAACTAGAAAAAGGACACTACCCTTAGACAGACTTAATTCCATTCCAGTTGCAGCAAGTGAAAACTTACTCATTAACAATCAGGATCAAATGACATCAGGGAATACATAGCTCCCTTCTTGTATCCAGTTTTGATGAAATAGAGTTATTGCCTCTCTCCTCTTTCTAATGTATCTTGAAATAGGTGACATATTATTTCTGCCATCCAAAATTTTCTAATTATCTATTGTCCTCTTACCAATCACATTCATTCTATTCCACACATACACTAATTCCTTTTTTTCACTATGAATTATCTCATTTATGCCCAGTGCTGAGGTAGTTTCAAATTCTGAGCATAAAACAAAATAAATAATTATTAATACTAACATTTCCCATTAGTCATGTATTTATTTATTTTTTATTTTTGGCACAAGACATTAGAAGTGACTCTAATGGTATAAATATTGTTTGACTCATTGGCAGCTTGGGCAAATTAGGATAGAATCAGACAAAAATGAAAACACAAAAAGTACCCAGTATCACAAAAGTTATGCTTATTGCTATTAGATCAGAAATATTGGTGAAATAGACAAAATCTTGGTTAATTCTTTACTCTCCTTGTGTGACAGAATATATTTTTTTCAAATGCAACTTCTCTTATCAGAAACCTATTATTTCGTTTTCTTTTGATATTTCTCTCCTCTGGTTCCATAAGTCATACTCATTTTGCTCCATGCATTTCACTTGTTGATTTTTTTTCTCTCTTATTTTACCTTAGGTTAGCCACATGGCACCCTCCAAAATCCGTCATTTAATATCACTTTTCACACTATATTTAATAACTAACATCAGGCTATTACAAGTTCAACTGATAAATGTTTGTGTCTAAGGACTTGAAATTGCCTTATGATTCTTTTCCTAAGGCAATGTGTAAAGGACACATTCAGTTCATGGGACCTTGCACAAAGGGATTTATCCTTGGAGATTCACAGATACAGAAGAATAGATACAGATAAAAAGAGATACTGGTAATCTTGAGGTAATCAAGGCTCCTCTACAAGCACTTATTTTTAGCCATAAACAGAAATATTTCTTTCTAAATATTGATTGCACATTGATTAACTGATCACCATTACTGCACTGATATTTAAAATATACATTATGCTTTAGATCTTCTTGCTCCTTATTCATTTTTAGTTGGTTCTATAATCTGTCAAAAATAGTGAAGTGGGTGCTGCTTTTATTAAATTGCTTTTCATAAAATATTTTATCACTTGTCTTGGGAAAGTAAACTCACTTTGATCATGGACAAGTTTCAACAAGATCATGAACCGAAAATAGAAAACACATTAAAATAGCAGAATTTTTCACATGAGGATATTCAAACCAAAACTATGTGTCAAATATTTTATATAATCAATGGAAACAATACTCATATGAAAGAAAAACTTCAACAAAATAAAACACTTTTTGGAAAAAAAAATACTTTATTTCTTTTGTAAGAAGACCTTGTCTTAGATATGCTATTACCACCTATTTAGTTCATTATAAAAATGTGATTTCAACTACTCCTTAGCATTTATTAAGCTTTTCTGTTCTGTAAGTCACTCAGTTGGGTCCAACTCTTTGCGACCCCATGGACGGTAGGCAACCAGGCTCCTCTGTCCATGGGATTTTCCAGGCAAGAATATTGGAGTGGGTTGCCATTTCCTTCTCCAGGGTATCTTCCCCACCAAGGAATTGAACCTAGGTCTCCTGCATCTCAGGCAGATTCTTTACCACCTGAGCCACCCAGGAAGCCCTATTAAACTCTTAAGGCTCTGTAAATTCTCTCCTAATCTGCTCTCCTGGCATTTGACTTTATTGCTCACTTGCATATACAGCTTGGGAAAATAAAGCTCAGCTCTCAACCTTGAACTTGGTCAAACACTTGAGTTATGATGACAAATTAATCTTTTGAACACAACACATATTGTCTTTTTGACCACCTTGCTCTGGTTGCCTTGGGTAAACTTAAACTTAATCTTCAAGAATCCACTGCAGTGGCAATACCTTGAGTGAAGACCTACTATATTTACCATGCATCAAGATTGGGAAAGAATAGGAGCTTCTAATGGAAAGAAATTTTCAAAGTTTTTTTATTTTTCTCCTTATTTTTCAGAAGCTAGGTATCACAGAATATGACAAGCTATATTAATGTATAGCTGATATAAAATTGTAGAAATTTAGAAGTGCATCTGATCCTTGGTTGTAAAATCTAGGGTTCAATCCTGAATTTAAATTAGTCTTAGAACAAACTGAATTAGTCTTATAACAAACAAAGTGGCAGCCATGAAATTTCATAAATATACAAGTTTACACACACTAAACATGAAGCTTACAAGGTTCAGTAACAGTGCAAAAGTTATAAGTCAGCTAACTTTCCCAAACTTCAGATTCTTGTTAGGTTAAATTAAAATGTCATTAGGGAAAGTCGCTCAGTTTTGTCCAGCTCTTTGCGACCCCATGGACACCAGGCTCCTCCATCCATGGGATTTTCTAGGCAAGAGCACTGGAGTGGGTGGCCATTTCCTTCTCCAGGGGATCTTCCGGACCCAGGGATTGAACCCAGGTTTCCTGCATTGTAGACAGACGCTTTACCGTCTGAGCTACCAGGGAAGTCCTAAAATGTCATTAAAATTTTTTTCTATTTATTTTTATTAGTTGGAGGCTAATTACTTTACAATATTGTAGTGGTTTTTGTCATACATTGATATGAATCAGCCATGGATTTACATGTATTCCCCATCCCGATCCCCCCTCCCACCTCCCTCTCCACCCGATCCCTCTGGGTCTTCCCAGTGCACCAGCCTCGAGCACTTGTCTCATGCATCCAGCCTGGGCTGATGATCTGTTTCACCCTAGATAATATACAGGAAACACAGAAAGGTTGTATAAACGTGTACCCAAAACAACAAAGTAAATGGCAACTGGACCATACCTATCAATAATTACCTTAAATGTAAATGGGTTGAATGACCCAATCATTAAGATTTTTAAACTCCAAATTCCTGTTGTTTCCTAGGATTGTGGAGGGAGGGAGCTGAGTCTGTAGCTAGGAAGTGCTAATAAAAAACTTTAAAATTTCATGTGGATAAATCCAAGGGTTGGGATTGCATACAGCAAGAAACACGTACACACACACCCCTAAATAAAAGCTAGTTTATTGGGGTGATATTAGACCACCACTATGAAGTGCTGAAAATTCCATGCTGTGATGTTTTTATATATATCATGGGATGTGAATCCATGTTGAACTAGTGTACAAATTCATCATGGGTGGAGCACATTCTGGGATGATCATTTTGTTTTCAATGTCAGGGTGTATTGGAGGACTAAGGGGTGAATTGTGAGGATATTTTTATAAGGAAATATTGTAGAATATTTTTTTATGTCATTTCAGGTCTTTGTAATACAAGAGAAAAGTAAAAAATGTTGAAATTAAAAGCATTTTTGTTTTCACAATAATGCAAGCTGAGGTTTACTGTCTCTGTTTTCTGCAATGAGGGAAACCTTTGGTTCTTATTCTTGAAGATTACAAAGTCATAACAAAGCCATGTAATTTCCCAGTAATGTGAATAGATGTGTGATTGAATTACTTGGGCAGTACTAATATTGCTCAAGAGAATGATTAAAGCAAATTTAAGAAGTATAGCAAAGGCTCCTAATATTCTTGTAGAGAAACTTCATACACAATTGATTTTTTATACATTAGGTTTAGATCTTGAAAAATCCGTACTTATGGATTAATAATCAATTGATCATATGTCTATATTTAATTAGCAGAATTTAATTTTATTATTTTAATATTTGGCTGTTAAAACACATTTATTGCATGGAGACAAATTTATAGATATAGCAATTATTATTGGCAATTATTATTTTTGAAGGAAATTTTAATATTCATAAAATAATTTTAATATATCAACTTAATTGACCAATATATTTTAATTCAAAGATATGTAATATTTATGCTTACTTGGTTCAGGGAAATTGTTGAACTGCCTATTAATAGTCACCATCTAAATTCAAGTTATCTTTCTTACAGAATAGCTGTCAATTATTTATCATTTTAATTCAAAAACATGTACTATTCCATAGCTGAAATCATCCAAAATGTAATCATAAAACTATAAACTAGAAAAGAGTTTTAACATTCATGAAACTCTTGGTTGCAGCTGGATAGTATTAATGTAGGTGCTAACAAAAATGAAGCAAAACAGAAGTACCGATCGTCAAATGATTAGGAATCTGATTTACATTTGATTGAGTATCAGGTGGTGGAATAACTCTCTCTCTTGCACTTTTATAGGTTGATGTGTTCACTATATATGAATATTTCCCCCAAGAAAATATAAAATAATGTTCTTGGATAGGTGATTTTCTCTTAGGCTTTTAGGTAGGATATG